GATAGGGCAGCAAGGTTTTGGAATGGAGGCCGCGTACCGGGAAACGCAGCGTGGGACGTCCACCCACAAGGTAGACCGACAACATCATAAAGGTAGCAGGGAAGCGCTGGACGCAGGCCGCCATACCAATCGATTATTGATCAACATGGAAAGCATGGGAGGCATGTTCTGTTCAGCAGTGGACGTCCTATGGCTGAAATGATGATGATGAAGGGTAATGAGTAAAGCCCGGTCTGTGAGCACGTAGATTTATGTCCAATGACCCCAAGCTACCCACCCTTTTTGCTCGCGCGTAATTATATTGCTGTCGCGACTGTGCGACGGGTGCCCGCAGTAAGTGTGCGAGCGCGACAGCAACATAATTACGCGCGTGCGATAAGGATGGGTAGCTTGGGGTCATTGGACAAAATTCTACGTGCTCGCAGAGCAGACTATAGTATACCTCATGACGTAGAGGCAGCGGCGCGCGATGAGCGCGTCGAGCGCGAGGTGGTCGCGCGCCGCGTGCCGCAGCCGCATGACGGCGTCCGACGCCAGGCACAGCCCCGCGATCACGCCGCCACAGAACTGCCCGCAACAAGCAACGGAATCATTCTCGGACTCTTGAAAAAATCGAACTGCCTAAGGCGGGAATCGAATCCACGACTTTTTACTCAGATTAGAGCGTATAAGTGTATGTCTAACTTTCGCTTGCCGGGGCGACTGCTCTTCCATCTGAGCTACTTAGACACTGTGTGAACCAGTCGGAATTTTCAAGTGTAATACGCTATAAAGTTGTTGAGAAGTGGCTAAATGCTAAGAAATTTTTAACATGCCGCCGTAATTAGCTAGGGTGCGAGAGCGGTGCCCAGGCATTGAGCACCGCGGGCACCGGTCCGGCACCTCAGGATTTTGGATATAATATGCGCACATGGTTCTGCGAGAAGACACTCGCTGACGTTTTGAATTAGTGGTGACTGCCCAAGTAACACGTAATCTGTATATTCACTGAAGTTAAGATTAATTTACGTTTTAAAGTCAGACTATAACTTTAAATCAGTTTTGACTTAGTTTAAATGCTTTTAAGTAGAATGCGGTAAAATTTACAATGCATGAAGCTATTATATGGTCTAAAAAAATTAAGTTAATTGGCTTATAATCATACTAAAACATTAATTACTTTTAATATACAGCACCTTTAACAGCATTTACACTAACACAAAGGTTAAAACCGTATATTAGTAAATAAACGTTGTCGAAATATTTTATAGTGCATTCAGATATATTAACACATTTTACAGATTGAACGCATTTTTATGATCTTTTCTTATGGTTATTTACTGCTCAGCATTAGCCAAACATTTACTAAAGTTTTAGCTCTGTTATCTTCTTATTTTATTGTTACTTTAAAGCTTTTAGCACTATTTATATAAATAAAAATTTTATTTTATTACTTTAGGTCATAATTTGGCCATAAAACCACGAGCCGTATGATTGTCTAAGATATGAGCAATAAAATTTGACTCCAAAAAGGCCTGCCACAGGCTGGAAACTGACGGCAGGTCACCGACAAGCACGCTTTCAATCAGCTCGCACTCGGAAGGCGAGTAATGGAGGCGAGTTTTGTTTTCCGCAGCAGCAGTCGAAGAGGTCGGGTCTATAGACGGCCTGGGGAGCGATTTGTGCAGTGCTGGTTCGCTAAAACATTGGCTTATGGGGGTGGCTTGCTCGACTTCCCATCGAGATGTGTAGGAGCAAATTGAAAGCGTGCTTATCGGTGACCTGCCGTCAGTTTCAAGCCTGTGGCAGACCTTTTTGGAGTCAAATTCTATTGTTTATATCTTAGACAAACTGTCCACTTGCTAACAGCTATCCTACGAACATTTCTGAGCTCTTGCTGGACGTCGATACCAGGCAAATGACGATTTCGTAGAGAAGTTGACATGAAAAAACGGTTTTTCCTCTGCGATGTGCACCGGCAATGTTCAGAACTTGGTCTCGGGATAAAGCCACCAGTCTCCCGAAAGCTTCTTAAAACTTTCGAAACCCAGGACTGGCTTATGTGGAGCTGACGTGCGACAGCCCGCTGGCTGAGCCCTTCTTGCAATAGTGCAACGATTTGTGCTGCTTCTGAAGGTGTAGAATCCCAGGTAAAGTGTCAAAAGAAGCGGAGATGTGTATGGATCAACGTGTGAACGCAAAAATCCGAAAACACTTGCTTTTATGGGGGGTAAATAGGCCGCAACTCACGACGTATCAAACAGTTGATACATGTCTTTTTCTTTACTTCTTCACATCAGCCGGGATATCTTTTTAAATACTGGTGTGATTTAAATGAATTTGGTATCAATTTAAAGTTAAAAGTTTAATCTTTAAAATGGTGCTACTTTTTTTGTTACTAACAAATTGGTTAGTACACAAGATCGCGTGGAAACAACTTCATGTAAGTGATTCCATACTTTTGCTCGCAAGTGTAGTTACTTTACAAAATCATAACAAATAATAGGAATGTGTGAATTATGTGGATAATGTGATAGGGACCCTCCTATTTTTACATTATTTAGAAAGAAATTCAGTAGCATGTTCTACGGCAAAGTAGGTAAATCGAAAAATCCGCTATGACTCGTAGCATGAGCAACGAAGAAAGCAGTGGAGTGTGGCGCAGTGCAGCATGGCTGGCGGTTGCTCAAGCGGCCGCACCTAGGTGGCGCTAAACGGGTCTTTGGTTCGCCTATAGTACCTACTATGCAAATGCATGCAAGATGACGCGGCGCGGGTTCGATTTCTGTGCAACATTCTGTAAATCTGTTATTGGTCGCTTCAGTGCAGGTAGGTAAGTACTTACATATTTAGAACTGTCAAGGCTATCTAGCTACTATTCTCTCAACTTCTAGTAAAACATAATAATAAGTAGGTATTAGGTATGGTATGGAGATGCGAATTTGCTTCGCACATTTGACCTCCTTGGGCGCGCATTGCCCCTAGTCCTCTAAATATATATCTGTTACAGGAAATGTATGAATTCTAGGAATTGTATGCTATTCCTAGGAAATGTAAACNTAACCTCCTCATTTATAATAACTATTTACATACTATTTACAATTAATAATTATTTACATGGTTATAAGGCTAAAAAGAAACCATGTGAGTTAAGAAGACAGATTGGCATAGGCCAGCCAGCAACTCTTTAATGATAAAAAGACACTCAACAAATCTGATTATAGTCTGACGACTGATTGCAGAGAATATTGTGTGATCAGTCAGAAGACTATAAACAAAGTTGTTCTGTATTAAAGGCAATGAGAAGGACCACAGGGATTCCTCCATGGTTAATTCTGGCTCTCCATGTCCAGAATGTGCTGTCGTTTGTCATCACATAGCTTCTAGGATAGTGAGAGTTGCAGTTGTTGTGGTTTTATTTAACCCACTTGTTACGGAGTTCACTTTTTCTATCACTTACCTTAAATCAGTCATGATAAATTTATCTCAAAACAATCGCTCCAAAACTTTATAGTTATTTACGTCAGTGTACTTATAAGACTTGGACAGTACTGCGACCCACCTCATCTTTCAAATGTTGCACATAAAAATTGTTTACACTACCCACATTAGTAAAAATATGTATGTAAAAACAAGCGTTCTTTAAAAAGAACGCTAGTAACAAGTGGGTTAATTAATTCTTCCTTCAAATATCTCTGCTCAGTATTAGATCTACTCGCTCTGAATCTGGATGTACTTGCATCCAATAAATATTTTTTCTTTTTACCTTTCAAACATAAAAAAAAAATTGAGCGAAAGTTTAAGTTATAATAAATTGAACTTTATGATTTTATTTTCCTGTAAGTTATTAAAAATTAGAAACTTATTATAAAATTTTTGAAATAACTAATTTGGAACAAAACTAAAAACAAAAACCAATTTTGTTAATTTGATTATTATTTCGAGCTTATACCTAAACTGTTATGAAAACTTTTTAATACAAACAACTCAGTCATTTCCTAGGTATCTAATCAATAAATAAATTAAAAAAACAACGTACATTGTCCCAATGATCGAACTCATATCTCATGCGTTTCAACGCGGGCTCCAGCTCGGCGAGCAGCGCGGCCTCCTCGGCCTCCGACACGAAGTCGGGCAGCACCTGCATGTCGCGCAGCACCGCCGCTCGCAGCTCGGGCTCCTCGTCCGCCTTCCACGACGGCAGTACCTCTATCAGGCTCGGATCTCCTGCAGGAATTTTTTATCTTAATACTTTGCTAACGGGCGGCGCAGTGGACATCCTTGGGGGAGGCCTTTGTCCAGCAGTAAACGTCATTCGACTGAAACGAACTTTTCTGACAGCTACTGTTGTGATACGATTGTTAAAGTATAAAACCTCTGTTGAATTATTAGATCAAAGATCAATATTACCTGATAATTTCTGGGTATTTATCTTGGCTTGCACATTATCACTGCTAAAAGTCTTGGAGATATGATAACAAATTGGTCTGATTTTAAAGCCACCCAACCTACTGAGCGTTAGCAGACACATTGTTGACTCTCATAATAAGGAACACAGAGATAGAGGAGAAAGAAAACTTTCTCATTAATTGTAGATTAAAAAACCTAATAGCTATACATTTTCAATATTTTCAAATATTTTTAAGATCATAACCTCACACAATGACACAATAACAAGAAAAATGACACTGACACTGATGACACAATAAACTGACTGACAATCAGCTGACTATGATGGCCCTAAATGGTGCAAGTACACAATGCGGGAAATTGGCCAAGACGTAATAGTGTAAACACCATCTCAGTTATTTTGTCCTTTCTCCTCGCGTGCGTCGCCCATACTTTGGTGCGGTGTAAGGGCTAGCGCTTTGACTTGGTTCAATTTGCCGCAAAATACTTGCGCAATAACGGTTCCCGGCTGTTTCTGTTTCTGAACGTCTACCCATTATGTCAATGTCAGAAATGTCAGCAGCACGTCAGCAGAATGACAATGTCATTCTCATATGTGTATGTTGTGTAAATAAATAGTTTGAAGAAAAATAATAATGATTTAATGAGTGAAGTTATTGGAAAATGTAGATCGGAATGAATCTATTTATGGGCGGAGAAGTGGTGAATATTATTAGACATATTGCCGCTTAAAATGGAGACGCTTCCTGATGAGATGTTAATTATGATATTTAGAAACTTTTCTGTCCAGGAGTTGCTTACAAACTTGAGGCTCGTCTGCTCTCGTTGGAAGAAGCTGATCGAGCGCCGCGCACTCTGCGTGAAGCGCAAGAGTGATCTGAAGCGAGCCCACCGGAGCACCTCTTATGTACAAATCCTTACGAAAACAGTGCCCCTGAAACTGTTCCTGATTCGCGCCGCTCTGCACATTCCGTACCTTCGAGAGCTCACCATATACGCCCCCAACCCGCTGGGGCCGGAGCACCTGCGTCCCCTGGCAGGTTTGAAACACCTGGAACACCTCGACGTGTTCATGCAGGGTCGCGTGCTCAGAGAGGACGCGCTTCCCGTCCTGCTCAACCTGAAGTCGCTCGTGGTCAACGACATCATCGGCCGCAACGTGCTCGCTCCGATGGCCGGCTGCCAACTTCGGAGATTCTGCATGTACGGGCGCGCTCAGTACTACCCGCCCCGAGAGATGCTCACGTTCCTGCGGGGCGCGCACGGCCTGAGCGAGCTGGTGCTGCGCTGCAACGAGCTGCAGGACGCGGCCTACGAGACCATCGCCGCGTGCTGCCCGCGCCTGCGCGCGCTGCAGCTGTACTCGTGCTGGCTGCTGACGGGCGGCGCGGCGCAGAGCGTGGCGCGCCTGCCGCTGCGGCGCCTGCACCTGGCGGGGCTGCCGCTGGTGCGGCCGGCGGCGCTGGCGCTGCTGCTGGGCCGGCTGCGCGGCGGGCTGGAGGAGCTGGCGCTGAGCGCGAGCTGCTTCGGGAACGAGCACATGGCGCCGCTGGTGGCCGCGGCGCCGCGCCTGCGCGTGCTGGAGCTGTGGAGCTGCCGCCTGTCGCCCGCCGGCGCGGTCGCGCTCGCCGCCGCGCTGCCCGCTCTCCGTTTTTTAGATTTAGATGTAACGCTGCAGGACCCTCTGCTTCGAAAGCTCGACGAGCACCCGTCTCTCGAGACTCTCCGGTGTTGCACGAGAAGTTCTGTCTCCGAGATTGATCTGTCCGAGTACAAGATGAGTAAAGTCAAGTTGATTTCGACCGATCAACGATATAAGTTCAAGTATTTCCGAAGCCGCGGGGAGGGCTATCGGGCGAGTTTGTACTACTATTGGACACAGGACGCTCTCTTGAAACCGCTCAATGATCCTAATGTTTTTGCTTTTGATTCAGATGATGACTATTATTGATCTCTTAGGTATAATATTTTACAGTCGCATTAATTCTGTTTCAACGTTGTAATCAATTATTCTGAATACCACAGGTATTACCTAAGTCCAATTTGTTTTTAACAAAGATGGACTGAAGCAGGATTACAGAATAAATTATGGGACTGAAGCAAGACTGAATTTTTATACTTACTACTGTGGTATGTGCAATTTTGAAAATAGGCTAATTTTCTGAATTAAATCCTTGTCTATTTTAGATAAGGATATTATTCATAATGTAACTACTGAGAGAAGTCACTAGTTCAAACATTGAATTATATTTTATTGCAATTAATTGTCAATTGCCCGGTTTGAATTGTGAATTGAGATTTTTAGCTTGAGCATGCTTATTTCGTTTTTAGTCATGTGGCAGACCCACATGACGTCCAGTGCTGGACAAAGGATTCCCAAATAGACCATAAATATTCCATGCTTATTTTAAATAAATTAACTAATATGAAAATCTCAATTCAGAAACTGATCAAAGGTTAGTTGGTTTAGTTTGCATTGTTTTGATATGATCATCTATTTAATTCTTCAGTATTATTAAGATGAAGTATAAAATACATAATATTGTAAAACTAAGATTTTAAACTTTCAAGTTCCATTTCAATTAAAATATGTAGTAAGTCCCGTGTCTCACTATTTTCATTGTAAAACTATTTTTTACTATGTATTTTGAGTAAATATTCGAATGTTTTGTTTACCCAAGGTACCTATTGTAGTAGGTATTTTGCCAAAACTTAGACTTACATACTTCTAAAAATTACTTAACTTTCGTAATTTTATTATTAACATAATATAACCTATGTATGTACACCTACCTACTTATGTTATAAGGAATAATACATTCTAGACCACACTAAGATTTTGTATAATATATTTTATTATTATGCTTGAACCTTGGCTGTGGTGCTTAATAAACCGGATCTAGTCATAAATGCTTGGTGGTTTTATTGTTTGAAAACAACCCTTTGCCCGTCGCGTTTTCTTTAGACAAGAAAAAAAAAAAACATACGGATCGAATTGAGAACCTCCTCCTTTTTTGAAGTCGGTTGAAAAGACTGTATCTGTTTCTCTAAAAATTATCTTACTAATAAGTATTATAAATGCGAAAGTGGATGTCTGAATGTTAATTACTCTTTCACGCAAAAACTACTGAACGGATTTTGTTGAAACTTTACAGTATTATTGTTTATATCTTACAAATATTATAAATGCGAAAGTTTGGATATCTGGATGTCTGAATGTTTGTTACTCTTTCACGCAAAAACTACTGAAACTTTACAGTATTATTGTTTATAACCCAGAATAACATATAGGCTATAATTTATGACGATTATGTGACAAACTAAATTTTACGCGGGTGAAGCCGCGGGCAAAAGCTAGTATTTCTATATTTTTTTGTATTATGAAATAATGTACTTCTACACTAATATTATAAAGAAGAAAACTTTGTTTGTTTGTTTGGTTGTAATGAATAGGCTCAAAAACTACTGGACCGTTTTTAAAAATTCTTTCACCATTCGAAAGCAACATTATCCACGAGTAACATAGGCTAAATTTTATTTTGGAAAAAATAGGGTTCCGTAAAATATTTGGGTTTTTCGGAGTCCACGTGGGCGAAGCCGCTGGCGGAAAGCTAGTTATTTATAAATCTAGTTAACGCAACGCCTACACACTACGATGGCGGTAAAATGACTACAACAACATTAAACTGAGATGGTATGTTAAACCAGCAATATTTCCACACCCAATCCTGCAGTTAGCAACCCACTTACAGGCTCAAAACAAGCGTAACAGCGATAAGTCGCGTACGCAGCGAGCGGTGTGCAATCCCATTGTCTGCGTTTAGTGGTGCGTCTTAAACGGGGTGGAAAATTGACTGCATGAGCTGGTTCGAGCGAGAGGTGCTAGCGAGCGAGATTCTTGGTTTTATTATTCCTTACAGCTTAAAAAAAACGTCCTTATCATTAGGTTCTGTCTGCTGTAAAGGACAGTAGGTACATAAGTTACTAGTTACTTTACAAAATCATAACAAAGAATAGGAATGTGTGAATTATGTGGATAATGTGATAGGGACCCTCCTATTTTTACATTATTTAGAAAGAAATTCAGCACCATGTTCTACGGCAAAGTAGGTAAATCGAAAAATCCGCTATGACTTGTAGCATGAGCAACGAAGAAAGCAGTGGAGTGTGGCGCAGTGCAGCACGGCTGGCGGTTGCTCAAGCGGCCGCACCTTGGAGCACCCTCGCAATGGCACAGAGGTAGCGCTAAACGGGTCTGTGGTTCACCTATTTACCTGACTAGTACCACAAACCTACTATGCAAATGCATGCAAGATGACGCGGGTTCGATTTCTGTGCAATACCTACTTACAAACATATTTAAAAGCATGAACTTCAAACTTGTCCGTTATTCTTGGCCTATTTACTCGTAAGTAGATGGGTATTATTTTTCTTGTCTATAGTATACCTAAGCTTCACTGCAGGTAGGTAGGTACTTACATAGTTTAGAACTGTCAAGGCTATCTAGAGACTTTATTTATTGTAATATCCTCTCAATTTTTAGTAAAACATAAGTAAGTAAGTTACCTATACTTATGGAGGTGCGAATTTGCTTCGCACATTGACCTCCTTGGGCGCGCGTTGCCCCTAGTCCTCTAAATACATATCCAATGAGTGGAACAAGCGCAAATTGCGCCTAAATCACCGCTAATGTTGCTGTGGGCCAATCAAACGAGTGATTTATGCGCCGGCACTTCGAGTTGTCCCACTTGGTGCATTGTAAGACATTTATCATTTTAAACAAGCGCAACACACCACACGACAGGCGCTTGTATATTAAGTAATGATGAAGTGCAAACTAATAAACTTACAATATTACATTTGTAAACGTACTACATTAAGTAATCGCCAAGTGAAAAATGACAGTTTCAATTAAAATATCAACTCTATTATATTATGTGCTATCTAGACGAAATACATAAGTAGAGCTGCAACAGAACACTATATTCGGCATTCTTTTTAATAACGCACGTCCTTTAATGAATAATAGCTTATGTACGCCAAAATTGACTACTGACTATACTTGACGAGCAATGATTTAAGAAAACTGGGGTTGCCTTTTATACCATTAAGGCGCCTAGCATCTCGTCGTCCNGTCCAAACTTTCACCAGAAGAAACACTCAAATCTCGATTAAACTCTTTAGTCTTAAAGTTCTGATCTTGATTATGATAAATAATCCAGTTGCAATGGAGTATTAGACACAGGTGGACCGACGATCTGCTGAAGGTCGTTGGAAGAATCTAGAT